CTGCTGACTTTTAATAAATAAATACACATTTACCTGTCCCGGGGTCCACCAATATACTCACCTGCGCTGTCCCTTCTCTCCTTCTGTGCTCCATGGCACCAGCATCTCTACTGTGGGCACCAGGCTGTGACAGCTTGCAGCTTCACAGCCTAGTACCCACTGCGCATGCACGCGTCGCGCCACGCCTCCTGATTGGTCCGGCAGTCTCCTGGGACCTGTGAAAGTTCCCAGGAGACTACGGGAGCAAGGAGGGGGCTGTACTGAGAAGAACTGATCAGGAAGTGGGAAGCAGGTACCTGGTTTTGACCCCCTCCCCCCAAAATGTGCCAAATATGGCAGTGGGGGGGGGGGGGGGGAGGAGGCAAATACACGGAGCTTCCACTTTTGAGTGGAACTCCACTGTAAGAGAGAAATAAAAATGATTACAGAGCCATTAAGTAGTGGATGTGTATGGATTATTTTTGGAGAATAGGAATATCCTTTAAAGCCACTTTAAATTTTTACTGAAGAGGACTGGGACCCCATGGTGGATAACATACGTAAGAGCTCTAGATCTCTTTTGGTCCGTGAGAAGGCCCTTAAGGTTTTAACCCATTGGTATTACACCCCTTCTAGACTACATATCATATCATTTCCGGGGACATTTCACCTCTGCTTCCGGGGTTGTGGCCTTCTTGGTACCCCTGTGCTTATGTTTTGGGCCTGTACCGGCCTTTCATTGGTCTGGCGTAAAGTTTCTGAAGTGGCCTGTGCTGTGGTGGATGATCCAGTGCATTTATCTGTGCAGATTTGCTTACTGGAAGCCCCTATCTCAGAGATACAGACTGATGCTGTGAGGCTAATCCCCACCATCCTTATCTCAACCCGATGGGCCATAGCCCTTCATTGGAGGTCACCAGTAGTACCTTTGGCCTCTGTTCTACTGAGAGTCGATGTGGTGATGCTTATGGAACGTGTTCATTCCACGGTGCTGGATAGGATGCACTTATTTGACAAAATGTGGGATGGTTGAAAAACTCATCAGCATCTATTGTTTGACTGATGGATTATCATTGTTTGCTTGATGTTGTTCCTTTGTTGGTAGTTTTATTATTCTGTATATCTTCCTACCTACCTTGTTCATGTACTTGACCTTTATTTCTTACATGATTGCACTTTATTAAGATGATTATTACTTACGTGCCTTTTTCCTGTTGTATACTATACTTTATGTTGTTATGCTGTTCTTGTAGTTTATTCCTTAATAAAAAAACATTTGTAAAAAAAAAAGCTACTTTAAATTTAAGTTTTTGAGCTAGAGTTCAGATTTAAACTATGCATTTCGCTGTTTGCCTGGAGCTTAGCTTTAAGGCAAAATGATACGCCTTTGCTGGTAACATCAAGGCCTCATGCGCCCTGGGAGTCAAAAACCCCAGTTTTAAGGGCATTTGACTTTTTTATGCCGCTAAGCACCCCTCTATGTTACCCTATGTGTCCTTGTACAGATAGGTGTTTACAGGCATTTAAAGGCAGAATTAAAAACTATATACCTGTGCTTTTAGGAGAGGAGTGTTTTGCCGGAAAAAAATGCCTGAGGTGCCTAACTGTGCATAAACGCATCTAAACATGTTTAAATCTAGGCGTGTTTAGTAAATTACTTTATTCAGAATACTTTTCGGGGTACAGACATACATGAGAACATACATGAGTATACAAACCCCAAACTGTACCACATATTGCTCAGGGTACCTGGAATAAGAGGCCATAAAGGTACTTCACACTCATAAGACAAATAGAGTACCAGGGAACAACACTGGAAATTAGTTTACCAAAACAAAAATTAAGATGAAAGTCCTCTTGAAAGCTACAATAATGAAGGGATGGGAGGAAAAGGAGAGAGGTATAGGGAAATTTAGGAATTCTGAGAGCGCTAAAAGGGACCACAAGAATAGAGGGCAATCTATTTTACAACTAAGGTTTGTAGGCCCGCCAGCATGTCCATATGGAGCGAACTTTCTCTGAGTTTGGGCCATACTCCACCACCAAAGTTTCCATTGCCATAATGTCAATAAATATTTGAGCCCATTCCAGAAGGTGAGGGGGGAGAAGTAGATTTCCAAAGAGAGGATATAGCTACCCAAGCTGCTAACAGACAATGTCTAAGGATTCCCTTATTCATTTTTTAAATGGATCCTAGAATTATAAACAATAGGGCAACTACAGAGGATGCATAAAAGTGGCCACCCGCCCAAGTCTATAACTGGCTTATGAAGCAAGGACACATAAACAGGCATCACATAGTGAAAAAAAGGGGGGGGAGAACAATGTTCTTGGACAACTTGCCAGCCAGCTTGCTAACAACCGAATTAACCTGTCTAACAGTATGCGTTTATAACAGGGGTTTAGTTAGCACACATTTGCAAATACATACGTAAGCCACAGAGCCACGACACGGCACCCTGATCATCTGTGGTCCTAACTCTAAAATTTATGAGTCCCCATAGTAGAGGCACATGCATTTAATGGATAGATCAAGGGCAGGTGGACCTGAGGGAGCCACCCCTCTTAAAGGCAAAGGAGTGCACTGGACCCCAGCATGTAGCACAATGGCAACCAGGTGCACTAGGTGTACGTGGGTGCACTAGGGCCCTGGTTGCCATTGTGCTACATGCTGGGGTCCAGTGCACTCCTTTGCCTTTAAGAGGGGTGGCTCCCTCAGGTCCACCTGCCCTTGATCTATCCATTAAATGCATGTGCCTCTACTATGGGGACTCATAAATTTTAGAGTTAGGACCACAGATGATCAGGGTGCCGTGTCGTGGCTCTGTGGCTTACGTATGTATTTGCAAATGTGTGCTAACTAAACCCCTGTTATAAAACGCATACTGTTAGACAGGTTAATTCGGTTGTTAGCAAGCTGCTGGCAAGTTGTCCAGGAACATTGTTCTCTCCCCCTTTTTTTCAACTACAGAGGATGCCTGTACATCGGAGATTGAGTTATAGGAGGAGAATATACTCTACCAAAATGGTGAGATCAGCCAACAGTCCCACCAAATATGAAGGCAGCAGCCCTCAGCTTCTTGACACCTCCAACATAAACCAGAGGTGGTGGTGTTCATGTGGTGTAGGTCAACTGGCGTCCAGTAGCAGAAAGACATGAGGGTTGATTTAAAGCAGACAAGGGCGCACTCTCATCGTGCATTACCGTGGTAATGCTAGTAGCTCTGAGGAAGGGGGTTCATCTCCTGAAACGCATCAGCTTATCCCTATTAAGGGCACAGCATTGTATTGACTGTCATTGCGGACCACATATTCTGCTTTTAATTTTTCGTTGGTTTGTGAGTATACATTTGTCTATATAATAAACACGTGGTGTACCACGGTAATGCACGATGAGAGTGCGCCCTGTCTGCTTTTTTTCACCAGTTTTCAGATTTCCCGATCTTTGAAGGGCAGTACCTCTCCATTTGGCATTCTGAATTTCTTTTAGTCTGCATGAAGATTTGAGCGCTGGTTTTGTTTGTTTGTCATGAGGGTTGATTTACTAAAACTGGAGAGTACAAAATCTGGTGCGGCTCTGCATAGAAACCAATCAGCTTCCAGGTTTTTGTCAAAGCTTAATTGAACAAGCTGAAGTTAGAAGCTGATTGGCTCCCATGCACAGCTGCACCAGATTTTGCGCTCTCCAGTTTTAGTAAATCCACCCCATTAAGTTATAGAAGTAGAATGTATTCTGCCAAAAGGGTAAGATCAACCAAACAGCCCTACCAAATATGTAGGTAGAAGCCCTCTGCTTCTTGGCATCTCCAACATAAACTAGAGGTGGTGGGGTTCATACGGTGTAGGTCAACTGGGGTCTGCTACCATAAAGACACGAGGGATGGTTTACAAAAATGGAGAGGACAAAATCTGGTTCAGCTCTGCGCAGAAACCAATCAGCTTCATTTTTTTTGTCAAAGCTTAAAGCGGTAGTAAATTCTTGAAGCTAAAAAAGAAAGAAAAAAAAACTTTTCCCCTAAAAAACAATGTTATAATGTTCTAGTATGCATCACATACTAGCAGATTATGTGAAACTTACCTTACAATCCTCACCCAGTCTTCCTTCCAGGTTCGCAGGCTCCTGTCCTTTGAATGGCCGAACCATGATGACATCATTCCCGCACTTGTGCGCAGCAGTCACTATTTATGGCACAGGGCTCTAAAGGAACAACACGGGCATGCCTTTCCATCAGAGCACATGCCCCGGTGACATCACCAATGGCTGCGCAAGTAACTATCCCCTGAACATGTTTAGGAGATATGTACAGTACCTACAGGTAGGCCTTATTATAGGTTTACTGTACATAAAACATAAATATAAGGCTTTACTACCACTTTAACCCCTAGCCTACAGGGCACTTATACCCCCTTCCTGCCAAGGCCAATTTCCAGCTGTCAGCGCTGTTGCACTTTGAATGACAATTGCGCGGTCATGCAACACTGTACTCATATGACATTTTTATAATTTTTTTTAGACAGAGCTTTCTTTTGGTTGTATTTAATCACCTCTGGGGTTTTTATTTTTCGCTAAACAAACCAAAAACCACCAAAAATTTTGAAAAAAAAAAGTTTTCTCTTAGTTTTTGTTCTAAATTTTGTAAATAAGTGATTTTTCTCCTTCACTGATGTGCGCTAATGAGGCTGCAGTGATGGGCACTGATAGGCAGCACTGATTTTATTTTTCGCTAAACAAACCAAAAACCACCAAAAATTTTGAAAAAAAAAAGTTTTCTCTTAGTTTTTGTTCTAAATTTTGTAAATAAGTGATTTTTCTCCTTCACTGATGTGCGCTAATGAGGCTGCAGTGATGGGCACTGATAGGCAGCACTGATGGGCACTTATAGGCGGCACTGATGGGCACTGATAGACGGCACTGATGAGGAGGAACTGGTAGGTGGCACTGATAGGCACTGGTAGGTGGCACTGATAGGCACTGAAAGGCAGCACTCATATATGGCACTGACAGGCGGCACTGACTGGCACTCTTAGGTGGCACTAATAGGCAGCACTGACGGGCACTGATAGGCGGCACTGATGCGCACTGATAAGTGGCACTGACTGGCACTGATAGGCGGAACTAACTGGCACTGATAGGCAGCACTGATAGGTGGCACTGACTGGCATTGATAGGTGGCACTGAAAGGCAGCTCAAATGGGCACTGATATGTGGCATTGATGTGCACTGGTAGGCACTGATGTGGCACTGATGGGCACTGGCAGGTGGCATGGATGAGCACTGACAGCTGGCAGTGATGGGCACTAAGAGGTGGCACTGCTGGGTTTACACTAATCATCAGGGCACACTGATCATCAGTGCCCTGATGATCAGTGTACACGTCCCTTCTGAGGAATGCCGATTACCGGCTCTCCTCTGTCAGCGTGACAGCTCGTGAGGGCAGAAATGCCGATAACCGGCATTTCCTTATTTACATGCGGTCAGCTGTGATTGGACACAGCTGATGACGTGACCGAGCCGGCGTCTTCGGCTCTTTCCGTCAATCGGTGATCCGCTGTGTCTGAGGGACACAGCGCACCACTGATCGCCGCGCGGTGCGCCCCTTGTGCCGCGCACACACGCGCAGTTAGAGTGGGAGAACGAGAGAAACCGCCTTGCGCCCGTCATTTCCTTATATGGTGGGTGGGAGGCGGTTAATAGAACAAGCTGAAGTTGCAGTAGAAGCTGATTGGCTTCCATGCACAGCTAAACTAAATTTTGCACTCTCCAGTTTTAGTAAATCAACCCCATGACCTTATAGCTCTTTTCTTGAAAATAACAAAATGCCAGGCATGTTTATGGTTGAGCGTTCGTTCATTCCAATCGCCAGAATGAATTAATATTCTGGCCAATGCGATGAAACATCCAGACGCTTGATGTGCCTAAAAGAGTCTAAATGCATTTGCAAAATGCTGCTTTAAGCGCATTTTTAATGCTGCTTTTTCTACCCCTGGAGTAAAGGTGTCCAGAAAAGGAAAACAAAATGCCCTGTGTGTATGAGGCCATACACATAGATCTAAAAAGAATATTAATACATATTCTTCAAAGCTAAATTAGATTAATTTGAACCCTTTAAATGATTAAATGGCATTGTAGAGTCAATCCCAGCCCCCCATATGATCTAAATAAGATATTGCATTATTCATTATGTGCTAGGAATGATTAAATGAAAGCCACCCCCTCTCAAAATGTTTTCAATATTTACATTTAATTAATCCGCGCTAAAGCTTTGTTAACCAAAGTGTTTCTTCTTAAATTGATTCCTCATCGAGTCTCCTCATTTTCTCAACAGCACACAGCAGGAAGCTATGTCTACACAGAGCAAACAAGATCTTGCTGTAGGCGCTGGGTATAAAACAAAAAGAGACTGATTAAAGAAAAAAAACAGACTGCTGTTAGTATTTGATCTTAAAATTATTGATCTTGTCAATCAATTAGGGAGACAGAAAAAGCATTTATGCAGGGGTGGCTTGCTGATGGTAACAGTGTGTTCAGTTTCAAAGGGAGAGACGAGGCGGTGGCGGTGATTGAGGTAAGGTTAATTTTATGGAGAGGGGGCATGGGTTCAAACCGGGAAACCGAATACTCCAATCATTGGACAGGTTTGCTGAGCTGATTTAGAAGCCATGGTTGAAAGAGGAAAACCATCAGGGTACTAATCTAAAGATATCTTGGATAATGAGGCTTTTAAGTGGATCAAACCATCAGAAATACGTTTGGTATGTGCGTCATGACATAAAATATACCCAGTGCTTCCTCTCTGACAATGCCCTCATATGTTTTGTCCCTTTAAAAAAATGGGATCAGCTTTGTTCAGGGCTATGCTGGTCATACACGGTTAGATTTTCGGCCAATTTTCTTATGAACATGCGTTCAATAATTGAGCACCATAATGCACCATAGATCCATTAATGAGTCAAGAAAGTTCATTTGAAAGCTCTAAAATTATCATGCAATGACCATGCCGATGCTTAGAATTTTCCATCAGAAGAAAATTATGAAATTAATTCACTATTCATAAATTAAAAACATAATAATTCCAAATAATATATATATATTTAATAAATTTGTATTTTTTTATTATTATTGCTAAATAAATGACGCATATTATAATGTAAAGGACAAAAATAAATAAATATATATATTTATATATATTTATTTTTGTCATGTGTGTGTATATATATATATATATATATATATATATATATATATACACATACACACACAGTATAAATGATGCATATTGTAATATATATACACAAAGTTTATATGATATATAATACAATATATATATAATATAAAGAACAATGTTATATATATATATATATATATATATATATATATATATATACACACACACACAGTATAAATGATGCATATTGTAATTAATATATATATATATATATATATATAATATATATATATATATATATATATATATACACACACACAGTTTATATGATATATAATAATATATAATATAAAGAAGAATGTTATATATGTATATATATATATATATATATATATCAGGGGCGGACTGACAACTCATGGGGCCCCCCGGGCAATAGGGGATCATGGGGCCCCTGTGCCCAAACTCAAAAAAGCCTATGAAAAAGGTACCAGGGGCACCTCATGGGGCCCCCTACTGACCCCAGGCCCTTGGACAGTGCCCGAGTTTCCAAATGGTCAGTCCGCCCCTGATATATATAGATATATCTATATATATCTATATAGATATATATATATATATATATATATATATATAGCAACAGGTGTATAAAATCAAGCACCTAGACATGCAGACTGCTTCTACAAACATTTGTGCAAGAATGAGTCGCTCTCAGGAGCTCAGTGAATCCATGCATGGTACAGTAATAGGTTGCCACCTGTAATGTACAGTATATTATAATAAATAATTATATCCATGAAACAGAACTTGAAATAGTTTCTGGACATGGACCTCAAGTTCATGAGAATGTGATAGCACATGCATAGTGTTAAATGACTAATCTTTTCTACTAATATTATGCTCAAGTGTTAAATATATTCCTAGATAATGTGCAATACATGTATGATTTTTTAAAAATTACATACGCAAAAAAGAATTTCGTTGGAAGGGAAAATAAATTCTGTGCTGTTCAAGTTTTTCTGTCCTTAAAGTTGAACTTGATCTTCAGTTTGACTTCACAGATGAGTTGAAAATGAAAGGAGGTCATCGAACACACAAGTTTTTGAAATGAGATCTAACCATGTATGGCCAGCATTAGTATGTACTCTCTGGACTGAGATTCTGGTTCAGAGAAGACACAATGATATAAATCCAGGTGTGTTCACAAATGTCTGACACAAGTCAGCCCCTGATGCATCTTGGCACCTTGTGACTTGTTACAAAGATATAACTTTGCAGTCTGATCACTGGGGGGTGGGGGGACTGAGGAAATGCTTCCTCTTGCCTGCAGCAGACTGATAACACATCTCAGCCTAGATAAAGTGACTTGTGTGAAGCTTAAAGGTGGTGTTTTAATAATAAAGAGTTCAGCTTTATTTTTTTTTTTTATATAAAGTTGCTGTATGTTGTGGCATATGAGGAATGTAAAGTTATGAGTGAAAAATCTGGGCTAAGTGCCCACACAGTGACAGTAAGTCGTAACCCACAACTAAACAGCAGCACTCACTAATATTATAATGCTAAAATATCAAATACCATATAAGCAAAACGCGTTGTGTGGAGGGGCGGACTGACCATTTGGAACTCGGGCACTGCCCGAGGGCCCGGGGTCAGTAGGGGGCCCCATGAGATGCCCCTGGTACCTTTTTCATAGGCTTTTTTGAGTTTGGGCAAGGACACAGGGGCCCCATGATCCCCTATTGCCCGGTGGCCCCATGAGTTGTCAGTCCGCCCCTGGTTGTGTGTCTCTTTGAATCTCAAAATAGTGACCAGAGACAACTGACATCTGCGAACTGCTTAATACATATTCACATAATTGCTAAATAATACTCACTCATAAAACATAAATTAAGTGCCATCCAAATAAATATCAACACCTTGGTTGTATCTGCAATTATTATGTGATTGCTAAGTGGAGCAATTGAAAGCGGCGCCTCCACTTTCAATTCAGGCACTTTTAATGTGCAAGTAGGTAACTGTACTCTGTAGCCTACTTGCACATTAGAGCAGCCTTTCTCCACCAGGGTCCCTTGAGGTTTCAGAGGTGCCTTGGCAAAATGTCTAAAAATTGCCCAAAACCTGTATACAAGCCAGCAGGTGGAACAAGCCGGCCTTTTAGTTACGCAAAGTCTCAGATTTTCATTGTGCACCATTTACGATCTTCTAGTCACCGGGCGTTGTGACAACCAATGACATCATCAGTTGATAAGGAGGATGTCAGCTGCCTGCACAGCATCCTAGTTTGACCCTTTCCATCAGTGCTGGGGCCACATTAGGTCAGTGATGGAGAAAAACTGAGGGGGAAGAGAAACATTGGAATACTAGTCAGTACCAGTGTGCAAAAGTGTGTTTCCTCTGGAAGAATAAATCACCTAACCTTGGATGTCCTACATGTGTGGATGTTGCTGCGTTATATAAAACTATTCAAATAGTTTTTCACATTTTAGAATGGGGAGCCCTTTTAAGATCCAGGATAGTCCCGAGGCACCCTTTAAAATTATGGACAGTCTTGAGGCACCCCATTCTAAAATAGGGTGCCTCAAGACTGATCATAATTTTAAAGGATGCCTCGGGACTGTCCATAATTGTAAAGGGTGCCTTGATTTAAAAAAAAGGTTGAGAAACACTGCATTAGAACACCGATCCACCACTACTCCTGTGTCTCTGGACCACTTGCCATGAGACGAAGTGCATTGGATGGAGCAGTGCAATTGTGATGTGCATGAATCTCATGAGTATCTTGTGGGTACCTGTCTTTCTTTTAATAAATTGTGTGCTAATTTACTACACTACGGAGTTCCCCATGCATTTCATCTATGTTGGATATTAGTATGTGAGGGACACAATTACACTGAGACCTCAGGAGGGCAGAATCCATCCATTCCAGGGGCGGACTGACAACTCATGGAGCCCCCGGGCAATAGGGTATCATGGGGCCCCTGTGTCCTTGCCCAAACTCAAAAAAGCCTATGAAAAAGGTACCAGGGGCATCTCATGGGGCCCCCTATTGACCCCGGGCCCTCGGGCAGTGCCCGAGTTTCCAAATGGTCAGTCCGCCTCTGATCCATTCATCAGGGATCTGTGTGGATTTCACAAAAGCCTTGTTAGATCTCTTATGTTATGTTTTATCACATTATTTGGACTTTATTCACCTTCATCGCTTCATTGGATGACAATTTATTGTTTATGAGTGAATTTGACTATTTTTTAACAATTATGTTAATTTGTATTAGGCTTCATGTACACGAGCCTACT